ATACAGGGTCACTATGAGTCCGAACCACCAACAACAGATAATAAGCATGGTATTAATTTGTGTGAAAGGAATGGAAACACCCAATAAAGAGGGGCCAGCACAATACCACTGAAGAAAACAAAGATACCAAGAGGTACTCAAGAGTGACAGACAACCTCGGTCAATGCTATTATAGATACAGTCCTGAATTATCAGTAATAGCAAACATTTATCTACAAGTGAATACGTAGGCAGACAGTCAAGATGAACACCCATGGGCAGGTAAAAGGCACTGCGCTCATGACCAAGCATGTTTGAAATGTGCTGTGACCAACAGCTTGAGGGACTGAGTCACTAGTGGGGCCTGGAGGCTTGGGACCATAGTCACAGGGCACATGAAAGACACTTAGAGAACACAGTCCACAAAGACAGTGTTGCACACCTTACCTTGGTGATTAGTGACTGGGGTCTTAACAAAAACTTAGGAGCAGTCGTCTAAGGTGCAACTGTTAACCTCTTCCCATCCAGAACAAAGAAAAGTGAAGGAAATAAAAAACACATGGAAACAATTAGTACAAAGGGCAACTAAATCATGTGAATCTCAGCCTCCATGGCCCTGAGACCCGAAGACCCAGAAGTTACCCAGCTACAATTATTGACAATTCTAAAAGGGATCACAAGAGAGCGTTCTGAATAGAGTGGGAGAAAAATGGGGAAGAAAATTCAAAATACCAGATTTACTGTTGTGATGGAGACTAATGGAATCCTCAGTGCTATATCTAGCCTTTGGTCACTCTTCAGGCCGGGAACTGATCTCATCCATGTGGTGCAACTTTCAACTCAATAGTAAAGACACGTAGGTTAAACATGAACATTAGAGAGGTCCATACTCTCAACTGTATGAGATCAGAAGGGCAGCATCATCCAGGGACAAAGCTCAGAAAGCAGGAATGGATAGGAAGGAAGAATAACAGAATGGTAAACACAAGAAGGAAGTGGGAAGACTACTGTTACATTGTGGAGACTGCAATCACTACACAAAATGCAATGAAATCAACAAGGTGCCTTGTAAACTTTCTCTCAAATTACAATAAAAAGGTTTTTGTGTGTTTTAAAGAAAGTAGAAATGAAAATCTTAAAATAGAGTTTTGATTTAATTTAGGGCTGATGTCATCCGATTCAGATTTGGTTGCTGTTGTTAAATGTCATTGAGTCATTCATAGTGACCCCGGGTGGGGCTTTCAGGAGTGGCTGTTGGTTTTCAACCACCAGCCTTGCAGTTGGTAGTATAGTGCTTACCTTCCAGTGTCACACTAGAGTTGACCATTGCTCAGTGAATACACAACCTTTACTCTCATGTGTTTGAGCTAAAATGCACAACGGCAGGTCCACATGGCCCACGTGAGTGTCATCTTCAGGTGAGTTGTTTGAGGAGCTACAACCTCTGTGAACACTCACAGCATCTAGTGTCATTCCCTTTATTCCAGGCAATTACCCAGAGGAGAGCAAACCTGTACCACTGGAAGGCTTTTATTTCCTTTGTTGCTGTTCCTAAAATGACTGGTTTCCTCTGGGTTTAATGAGAAGTTGGAGTCAAAGTTTTAAATGTGTTTAATAATCATCCTTAGACATGTTAAAACATATTTTTCAGTGCCTTTTAAATTATATCTTTTAAGTCTTTGATAAGTATGTAGCTGGAACTAAAACCCCTTCATATAATACCAAAATGAGTTTCTGATATCAGTAGCAGCATCTCATGTGATTTGTCCAAACATATAAAAGATTTTTACTTGAAATAAACTCAGATGTTTGGGGACCATAAATTTCACTTGTGTGGTACAGGAAGATGAAAGGTATAGAAAAATGAGAGAGAGAGAAAAAAGTCAAACATCGTTTGCACCATTTTTATGGTCAACAGTTTAAGCTGTTTGGAATGTTGAGTTTTGCTTCAGCTCTCTGTGAGTATGAAGCCCTGAGGGGTAAGCAGAAGTTGAGAACTTTCAATCCTACAGCTGAATTAACTATGGGGAGACCTGGACCTCTTTAGGTACTTGACAGTTTTCATTGCTATGAAATTTGGAAATCAAACCATTCCCTTCTGATCACTTGAATCTGTGCCATTTTAAATGATAAATTTAATCATTAAACATGGAGAAACACTTAATATTTGGTGGGTGTGAAGTCTGCAGGGAAGCCGTTTACCTCAAACATCATAATGAACACATGGTTTTTCAGAGTAACTCTTGTGTTTTTCCACTTGCAGGTCCTTTATTCAATGCAAAATGTTTCCTAAATTTTTACAAAAAAATTTGGAAGAGTTGGCTGCAGACCCTCTCCCAAAGAAGATGAAAGACTCTGTGGTGAGACACTTTATTTTGTAATCTAATGTAGGAAGGGAGGGTATCGCTTAATGTAACAAACTTGGCTCATGCTCATTGATGATATAAGCTCCCATAGACTTCAGTATTGTAAAGTTGGGACATTTCTGACTTCTTCCACTCATGCTATTCATGTACCTTCTAGGAATGGAAGATTAAAGGAAAAGCAAATAATGTTCTACTGATTGTTAGCTTCTCCCATCAGGCACCAAGCATCATTTGTTTTGGTACCCACCATGCCTGATGCATAACAGATGCACAAAACCTTCTGATGAATTTAGATGAATTCAATTACAATTGTTACTGCAAGACAAGTCACTAGTATGATACCATTTTAACAATTCATATTCAGTTCTGTGTGCCTTTGGTTTGGTTACAATTTCAGCTAAAATATTGAGGCTTTTTTTTGTCTTGTGATAAGAAACCAAGGGGTGAATTATTTTGTATGAATCAGGGTGATTCATGAGTTTTGAAAGCCATGATGCATTCAGGTCATCGAAAAACTCCCTACCAAAAAAAGTCCAGGCCCAGATGGCTTCACTGATGAGTTTTACCAAACATTCAGGAAAGAGCTGTCACCAATTCTACTCAAATTATACCAGGATGTAGAAAAGGATGGAAAACTTCCTGATACATTTTATGAAGCAAGCATAACCCTTATACCAAAACCAGGGAAGGACATCACTAAGAAAGAAAACTATAGACCAATATCCTTCATGAACATAGATGCAAAAATTCTCAACAAAATCCTTGCCAACAGAATTCAACAACACATCAGAAACAATAGTATCATGACCAAGTGGGATTTATATCAGGGATGTAAGGATGGCTCAAAATTAGAAAAACAATCAATGTAGGTTTAAAAAAAAGGGGGGGGGGAAGAATTACATGATCATATCAATTGATGCAGAAAAGGCATTTGACAAAATCCAACATCCATTCCTAATAAAAACACTCAACAAAGTAGGAATTGAAGGGAAATTCCTCAACATAATTAAGAGCATATATACAAAACCAACAGCCAACATCACTCTCAATGGAGAGAAAATGAAAGCTTTTGCTTTGAGAACAGGAACCAGACAAGGATGCCTTTCATCACCACTCTTATTCAGTATTGTGTTGGAAGTTTTAGCTAGAGCTATAAGGCAGGATAGGGAAGTTAAACTCTATTTGTAGATGATATGATCCTATATCTAGAAAACCCCAAAGACTCAGCAAAAACAACAACAACAAAAAAAAAACCCTACTAGACCTCATTGGAAGATTCAGCAAAGTGGCAGGGTAGAAGATCAAAATACAAAAATTAGCTGGATTCCTCTATACTAATAATGACAGCGCTGAAAAGGAAATTAAAAGGTCAATACCATTTACAGTTGCTTCCCAAAGGATGAAATATCTAGGAATAAAAAGTCACAATGCACTGAAAAGCAGTGAGCAAGGTGAAGTTGCTGGCGCTGATGAGCTAGCAACTAGGACATTGACACATGCAATCAACAACCATCTTTTATGTATACTAGGAGCTTGACTAGGAGAAACTCAAAGTTCCTTTCTGCAAAAGCACCAGGGTTCCCCAAGTCCCCAAACCTTCCCAGATTTTATGACTGATGAAGATTTTGTTTCACTTTTTGGTATATTGCAGTGAAGATAATGTATGCATTCAGAAGAAATTTAATAAATATGTGTGATAGACTCTCATAGCATTTCATTAGTATAATTAGATTAGATGGATTATGCCTTGCCTTACTTGATATTCATGCACTTTGCAATGCTTTGTACACATAACGTGCAAGTGATCGACTATGATCTTTGTCTTCCATTCTCTAAAAAGTCTACTGGTCTAATTATAATAGTTCAATGGGACTATCAGATTCTGCTTTTTATCCATTTGATTTTATAATACCTTTTGCTTAAGTACTACTATAAAATTTCTCACCTATCAGTCTGATTTTATTTATCTAGATCTCCCTCTGCCTCTTTTATTTTTTCTGTCTTTCTCTTTCACTTTTTCTAAATTTTAGTTTACACAAGAAGCCTCTAGTGAGTATGTTTAGATTGCAGGTTTCCAGTCCTCTTTTTTTCTCTCTGCCATTCTGATTCATTTGGCATGTGGTGGGACCTGGGGATTTGCTTATTAACAAGACTGCCCACCTTGAAGATTCTTTCCCAGATGATGAAAAGACTACACTTTAAGAAGCATTGATCTAGAAACAGAACTTAGAGCTCAATCAATGAGTTTATATAAATATGAGCAGGATAGATTATACACACAAAACTCGTTACCAAAATTCAGTATGTAATGTTGTTGTTGTTAAGTCCCATCGTGTCTATTCTGCCCAATAGCAACCCTGTATAGGGTTTCCAAGTAGCAGCTGGCTAACTTGAACCACCAACCCGTGCAGTTCATATGACTTTGCAGTCTGATGTATTACCCCACAGCGCCACACCAGGACTCCTCAGTATGTAATAAAGATATAAAATTTCCATTAGTGGTTTGCCTAGGTAATCCTCTTTCTTGCTTCTGTTTTTTGGGCATATTCAGGAGTTATCTGTGGCCTTAATACTTAGATGGGTATGTATTTTGGTATTTTGTATGCTCTCTGATTGCCTCCAGGAAGATGTGATCAGGAAATGGGCTTCCCTTTTCACTCTTCTTCTTGAGAAATTTCAAGATGCCACTGTTGATCATTTTGACGTAATTTAGGATTTAATTTTTGGCTTATTTCCTTTTTTGTGTGCTTGTCCCGCACCATAATACCCGTGCAGGCCTTTTTTCTAGATGTAAACAGTTCAGGGCCAGCTGTGGCTGTTTGGTTTTAATTGGAAACTGTCTCTTTAAATTTCGGGGAGATCTGTGCGCATGCATAGTAGAACCCTCTGAGGGTGGGGCTGGGGTGCTCACTAGCTCAAGCACCCCTATAGTCACCAGAATGGAGGTACGCAGACAGCAAGGGACCAATGAACAGATACCAAAAGAAAATAATGTCCACACCTTTATCTCTGTGGTTCTGCCAGGTGTCTGTGGCTGCTCCAATCCTTCCCCCACTGGTCTCACCCAAGATGGCAGCTCCTGGAGCAGCCAAGCATCCCAGACTAGAAAGCAATGGATTACTTGCTTCTGCCACTAATTTCCCCAGCTGTAAGCCTTCTAACCTTCTAAATATTCCTTTATATGTGGTTCAGAGTTCTGGGACCATCCCCTGAGCCTGCTTGGATGGGTAGTCTATGTTGTTGCTTGTGGAGCACTTTACAACACTTCCACCCGATCCACCATCTTGTTTGTTCTCCAGTAACCTTCTTTCTTATGTTTAGTAACATTGCCTTTTAGATTACACCCTCAACGATTGCTATAAGTTTTTAGTTTTTCCATCTTGTTAAAATTTGCTATTTTCATTGTATCCATTTATTTCATTTTCTAGTGACAAAGAAAAAAAATCAACCAACCAACCAACAAACAGAAACCAAAGAGCCAAATCCCACTTGATTTATATATATAAAATTCACACAGCTTCTTCTATGCTGGTTAGATATAGTAGCTATATTTTTGTGGTTCAGTCTGTCTAACTCTGCTTGTTATGCAATTTTGGACCAGGGTGTCTTCAATTTCTTTGGGGGCTGGAATATTAAGTCCTACATAAAATGCCACACTATAGTTTAAATATTCGGTGTGCTGTGAGCTGTTATTATACTTAATGGTTTATACATGGACTTAAACAATTAAAAATAGGGAATAAACACTATATTAATATTATTTTAAACATCCTGGCCAATGTAAGGTCTAAAAAAGAAATGTAGCTTATTTTTTATACACATTGAGAATGTACAGAAAAGTTGATGAAAACTGACGATGATTAATAGGAAGATTCTCAAATACTACTAAATTAGCACAACAACAACAACAACAAAAATTAGAAAAGCAAGAGCAATCAAATGTACCAGAACAAACATTAAGAAATGTTAGGTTAAAAATGATCCAACTCATGACAGTAACTATGATAATGACAATGATTTTAGCAAGTCCTGTTACAAATAAAGAAAACTACAAAAGTATTTTAAATATAAATGAAGTTCTCAGTAAGTGGTGATAAAAGAGATACTTAGTCTGATTCTAGATAGGAATTTTATGTACAAAATGCCAATTTGCTAATGAATCTATAGGTTAATATCATTCAAAACAGTCCAAAAAAATTATATTCATGACTTGGGTAAATGATCCTGTTTCATTAGGTTATTTTCTAAAATTAACAAAAAAACAAATATGAGAAAAGGAATATAGCTCTTGAGATTTTAGAGTATAAAGATTGCACAATCAGAAAAAAAAATTAAACTGATCCAACATAGAATATTAGTAGGTAAGAAAGAACAAGAAAGAAGGTGATTTTTTATATGAATTTAATTTTTGATATTGAAATCCCACAATCAAGAATTAGTCAGTACCATTGGCAAACCTAACAAAAGAAAAGAGGGAGAAGACACAAATAACATGCATTAGAAACCACATGGGA